TAGTGTTTCTATTCTGATCTCATCAGCAAAGATATTGGAACCAAACCACATGGGGATTCTACTTCCTTCATACAGAGAAATAAACAACATGCAAAAATGGCAATGGCTCTTTAAGAAGATGAAGTAGGGAAGAGCAGCTGGACCAGGCCAAATATATACAGAATAAATCTGTGCTAAATGTGATGTGAAAGGCACTTTAAAATCATCGCCAAAAAAAGAAAGATTCCAAAAGAAGGGGTGGGGATGAACATAGGGAGCACAAGCCCTGAAAACATAAACCTAGCCAGAGATAATAAAGAGATCTTGACTAATGAAAAATATCAATAAAAACAAATCTTTGAAAAAAGTAATAACTACATGAAAGAGAATAACTATGAGTCAACATAACCAATGAGATAACATATGTGAAGAACTCTGTAATAAAAACCTTAAAACACTTAGAAATGCTAGCTATTAATATTATCCCAAGATTTCTGTGAAGCAGCTACAGGAGTCCTCAGAGGAAAAATTGCATCTCCGAGAACATGCATTCACAAAATAGAAAAAAGAAGATGGCGGAACAGGTCAGAAAACTTGCAGCTCTCCCAAATTTCCTCCACAGAAAAAGACAAAACATTGCCTCAGAGGGAATGTAGAACAGTGGAAATAAACAAAAGTCAGGGTAAAGCAGATGCTCTCCTAAGATAACCTAAGAAGACCCCAGAAAAGACCTAACCTCCAAGGGCAGAGGTTTGGCCTGAGTGAAGTGCAAATACTTCCAGGCCAGCTCTGTAGAATCAACAAACAATAAGCCCAGGGAGCAGCTGGGAGGCAGCCTCAGGCCTTAGAAACTTTTCATCTCCTGGACCATCTGACTACCTTCCACTACTGAGGGATGCAAAGCACTGCTGTGTTGACCAGACATGATCAGGGTTGTGGCTATGGGGAGAAAGAGCTAGCACATACCTGGTGAATGCCGTAGTGGAAGCAGGGACCCTGATGCCTGTGGACACTTGAAGGAGAGCAGAGTCCCTGGTTTCAGTTCCAGGGAAGAGAGGACAGCTACAATAAGCATTACACGAGACCTAGTAGCTACTACATTGAAGGACTGTAGGTCTTGGAATACTATATTTCATAGAGCAAAAGAGCTGGGGTTACAACCAATCGTAATTTACCCAGCAGTATAATCCTGAATGAAAAAATAGACATTTAACAAACTGAAAAACTTTCAGATATTTGTTACAAAACCAGCAGAACTTAAGGGAAAATTTGACATATAACATCCAGGAGAAATATAAGGTAAACATTAAGGACCAATTATAAGAGCCTCAATAAGGTCAAATTGTTTGCTTCTGATATGTAAACATATCATCAATTATTTTATGACTGTCATTTGTGGGGGGTAGTTTGAAAGAAAGGCTTGGGCTGAGCTGAGTATGATGGGGTGATTCTAAAAAAAATAAAACTGTAGAGAGAGATAAGAAAGGAACAATTATCTCATGCAAATGAGGCATCAAAGGAAAAATTGATGAAGAAAAAGCTAGTTGAGGAAGGATGAGTAGTGCTGAAACCTTACTGTCATCAGAAATAGGTTAAAGAGGGAACAACATATATTTCTAGAAAGGTATAAAAGTCTTCTAAATTCAGAAAGAAATAAGACATCAAGGAGATAGGGTGGTAGGAGACAATAAGAGGTGGACTCTTGGAGGGGTGGGTAGGTTAAGGAATAGGAAGTCAAACAGGGTAAGTAAAACAGAGGAGTGAGAAGGATAGGAATAGGGTGAAAAGGATAGTGAGGAAAAATAGGAAGGAGGAAAATATACAAGTAATTATCACTTAGAATATGAATGGGATGTATTCACCCATAAAATGGAAACTAATAGCAGATTAAAAATTTGAATTCCAACAATATATTGCTTTCAGGAAATGCTATAAAAATGAGATACACACAAAGATATAATAAAGGGCAGGAGTAGAATTTAGCATGAAAAAAAGAGGTAGTAATCATGATCTCTGACAAAGTTAAAGCTAAAATAGATTTAATCAAAAGAGAAAAATAGGGAAACTACACTATGTGTCAGTAATGTTATTCAATATTGTTTTAGACCATTTAAAATAACTAGACAGTATAAAATACCTGAGAGTATACCTGCAAAATAGATACAGGAACTATATGAACATAAACATAAAACACTTTTTATACAAATAAAGTCAGATCTCAATAATTGAAGTAATATTTGTTATTCGGGGTAGGTAAAGCCAATATAATAAAAATGACAGTCTTACTTAACTAATCTATTTAATGCCATCCCAATTAAGTTACTAAAAAATTATCTTACTGAGCTAGAAAAAATAATAAAGTTCATTTGAGAGAATAAAAGGTCAGGAACTTTAAAGAAACCAGGGGAAAAAAAAGATATAAAGGAAGCAGATTCAGTAGTACCAGACCTTAAACTATATTTTAAAGTGAGAGCATTGTAGAAGTATGAAATGGATAATGTTGATTATTTTAAATTAAAATTTTCTTGTATAACTAAAACCTACACAGCCAAGAATAGAAAGAATGCAGAAAATGGTGGGGGGGGGGCGGAGGGGGACTTTCATAGACAATTTCTCAGACAGAATGTGATTGGGTTGGAATATTGCTGTGGTGTAGGAAACCATGAGCTGGTTGATTTAGAAAGACATGGAAAGACTTGGACTAATTAAGGAAGATGCTATCCACCTTCAAAGAAACAGATGACAAGTGGAAATAAGCATAGGATGGTCTTACATATGTGTATATGAGTGTATATGTAGATATATATGTGTATGTTTATAGATATCTATGTATATATGTGTATAATCCACACTTAATTGCAGCCTTCTTTGGGAGGGGCGGGGAATAAAGTAAAAAGTGCACAGCAGAGAACAAAAGAAAACCTACAAGGAAGCAGAGCTGGACAGCTTTGAAAACAATGTGTAGTATCTATTATGTAGGTTTTCTTGAAATGGAATTTTATTGTTTTGTATTGAATCCTTTCATGTTCTGCTGTGTACATGGCAACATTTTCTTTTCTTATTTTATATTTAAGCTTAAAATAAACTTTAAAATTTATGAAAATAAAAAAAGAGAAAAAGAGAAGATTAAGGAAATGAATGTATAATTTTAATAATTAGAAAAACAAAATAATGGAAAAGAACATGAACAGTATGCTGTTGCTCCCAAATCTGGTAACCAAGAAGTCAGAAGCTATCAGTTCATATGTCTGGTTTCTTATTTATAGAACATTACAGAGCATCCTCAGTGAAGGCACTCAGTTTAATCACCCACACTGGAAAAACAAAATGGATGACGTCCAGACCATGACACACAATTGAATAGAGAACCTGACTAAGCCCACCTATATAATGGCCAGGCACTACAGTCAGACAGGATATAGTAGGCATTAGAAGGAAGAGATTAGTTTAGATTACATCTTGAAAACTGTTCAGCGCTTTCAATTAATCCCAAACTGTTCCATGTTGCAACCAATTTCTTAAATACCAGTATTTTCCCAATACTGTAAACAATGGAAAGCCATAATCCCAGAAAAATTAAAATTACAAATAACTGAAAGGTATATGATGGGTATAAGTAGGCTATAACATATTTCAAACAATGACTTATATGTGAGATGTGTTGTAAAAGACATGACTGTGGACACATATGACTCAAAAAAAAGGAACTGGATAACACACGGACAGCAAGTACCTCCCCCCAAGGTAGAGAGAGACAGACAGACAGACAGACAGACAGACATATAGATAGATGTGTGTATGTGTGTATATATATATAAAATACATATATATGTTTATTTATAGTACGCCTCCAGCCAGTTAATTGGATAACGTATGGATGACTTATGGAAAACATGGCAAGAATTATATAGGATTTCTTCATCTGTAGAATGGGTTTAATAATACATTTACTACCGAAATCAAAGGTTTGCCTTTCACAAACTAGAGGCTATTATTAACACTTCTCCTACAAATGAACCCTTCTTGAGAAAAGCTCAACATACAAAAGTGTTGATCTCCAAAGACAAGTTTTGGGGTGACAAAGCCATCCTTCACTCTCGAATTAGAGTCCCCACAAGATTCCCTTAAATTGTGAGCTCCCTGAGCATATTTTAAATGAAACTTGATTGACGAGAATCCAATTCATACATTTTCCTTTAGCATACTCCATAAAGCAATGTCTACCAGCATGAAAATGATATTGCTCAATCAACAAGTCTTTATTGAGTTCATATAATGTACTCAGCACTGTACTGGTGAGAGGGAGAAGATGGTTAAGACATGGTTTCTGATCTCCCACTAACTGGAGGGGCCATATTTATATGTGTGAGATAATTAGCACACAATATGTGCCAGACAGTGAGATACTAACAATGAACTGCTCTCAGGCATAGACAGTCAGAGGATAGGAATAACAAAAGATCTCAAATTTAAAGCTGAAGGCAACCCTAGAAGTCACCCAGTCAAACCCCTTCATTTTACAAAGGAGGAAACTACGGCCCAGAGAGGTTCTGTGATTTGGCCAAGGTCACACAGATAGTAAGTGGCAAAGCTAGGCTTTGAACACTGGTCTTCTGATTCCAAATCCAGCACTCCTTCCACCTGTTTATCAGGCTACTTATCAATGATCATTGGGATTGGAAGTAATTGGTGAAGTCCTCATAGAATAGATGATTTGAGATGAGCCTTGAAGGAGGAGTAGGCTCTAGAATTCAGGGGTGGGGAACCTTTGGTCTCAAGACCACATGTGTCCTTCTAGGTCCTTGGGTGGGACCTTTTGACTGAGTCCAAGTTTTAGAGAACAAATCATTTTATTAAGGGGATTTGTTTTGTGAAGTTTGGATTCAGTCAAAGGGCGGCATTTAAGGACCTAGAGGGCCACATGAGGCCTTGAGGCCAAAGGTTCCCCACTCCTTCTCTAGATAGTCAGAGAAGAAATTAAGGATATTTGGGGGAGGGGAAGACAGTATCATCTTACATACTTGAACTGGTTGGCTTCTGAGATATTCATCGCCCATTTGCACATCTGGAGACTCTTCCACCTCTCAAACAGCTCTGATTGCTTCACCCTTTAAAAAGTGAAAGTGGAGGAAATCATCAAAATATAGTCTAACCAAACCAGTCTAACCAAAGTTTTCATGATTTAAAATAAATGCAATAGATTATTCTCCATCCAACGAAACCTTCTGAATCCTTATGGTGCTGCAATCCTTACAGCTCCCCACCATCAGGAATATGGTGCTGATCACAAAGTTCTAACCATAGAAACTAGAGCTGCTCGGTTTATTCAGACTGCAAACTCTGAGGCTTCCTCCAGGGCTGAGGGGTTCAGGAGTAAAGTAGAGGAGCGTGGGTAAGTAGGCAAGTTAGAAAAATTCCAGAGAATTGTAAGGCATTCAGACAGGTGACCAGCTAAATCATTTCTATAAAATCTTCGTCATAAAGGTCATTCTGAGAATGGTCCATATACACACGGACGGCAGATTTGACAAAAACACAGTAAGTGAGCAAGTTGGCTTTTGCAGACAACGTCATATTCCAGTTCCTATCTTTGCTACCACACAGCCGACTGAGATGTGTGAGGAATATGAGGTCCCATGGTGTTACTCCAAAACATGTGCTGCTTCTCTCTTGCAAAGCCTCTGAGGAGGAAGATTCCATTGGTCATACTATTATATAAAGAAGTTTACATATGCCAGATGATCATTTCATCACCAAAGAAACAGGAAAGAATCTTAGCAATACTAACTTGTTTGTAAATCAGATTTGGGCCACAACAGATCCAAATTGTCATTCACATAATTGCAGACTTGTAGAACCACCACTGAGCTGTAAGGGATTTCAAAAGACATCTGCCCAACCAGTAGCTAAGTCAGGATCTCCTCCTCATCAAACCCATCCAGCCTTTGCTAGAAGATCTTTAGTGAAGGGATCCACCTCCTCCTGAAGCATAGCTTTAATTATTGCTAAATGTTCCCTTAAAATGAGAAGAAATCTGTCTCTTTATAAATTCCGCTCATTCTGGGGCAGCTAGGTGGCACAGTGGATAGGGCACTGGCCCTAAAGTCAGGAGGACATGAGTTCAAATCCAGCCTTAGACCAAACACTTGACACTTACTAGCTGTGTGACCCTGGGAAAGTCACTTAACCCCAATTGCCTTAAGTAATTAATTAATTAATTAATTCCACTCATTATTGCTAGCTGTGCATTCCAGGAACATGCATAGCAAATCTGATCCCTCTTTCATGGGGCTGTTCTTTCAAATATTTGAAGATGCTATGCCTTTCTCTTTGTTTTTCCTCCTCTTCCAAGCAATACCTCAGGAGAGGCAGCTTGATATGGTGGAAAGGGCTGTGAATACGGAGTCAGATGACTTGGGCTCAAATCTCTGCTCTGCCACTAACTTTGTGACCTTGGGCTAGTCCCCTGACTTCTCTGGGCATCAGTTTTCTCATTTGTAAAATTAGGGGGACGGGCTAGATAATCTTTAAGATCCTTTCCAACTCAAAATCAATGATCCCACGACCTTTGAGCCAGCTCTTCCCCTGACTGTAGTCTAGAGCCCTGTTGTGGTTCAGCATGTCTGCCATTCCAGAGCAAAGCATTCAACTCCCTCCCTTAGTGTTTCATCTGCCTATCAGTCCTATCTCTCTAGCTTTCAAGGAAGCCTTCTCCAGAATGGTAAGTAAGGGCAGGGAGGGGCACCATTTATAGACAGGCTACAACCAGGAAAGGGATCCCCTCCCCAGCGATCCCCTTAAGGCTTTGAGGTTCCAGCATCTATCGGTCCTAGGAGCAACTCACCTGACAGCAAGACCACAGGATGTAAAAAGATGGTCCTGGTACAGTAACCATGTCAGCAGGGGCTGGTCTCTTGGGGAAGATACTGGCAAGAAACTTCATGACGTTGACACTATCATTTCTGCAGTGTCTTCACTTCTTTCCTCCCCCTATGCCCACTGCTAATCCTTCTAGGTTCCTTGCAAGAATGACCTTCATCAAGGGACCAGAGTCATCCTTGACTTTTCTGACAGCAGAGTCATAGTGGGGAGGCTTATAACCAGGGTTTAACTCATCTATTAGTCTTCCACTGGACTTAGCTCTTCACTGACAACAAGCAAAATTTACTATTAGCATTCAAAATAAATCACTCCTGGTGTCTTACCCTATCCCAGGACACAACCAAGCATTTGTCCATTGGCCTGGGGGTAAGGCCAGTCTTATGAGTGGGCAGCCACCCCTGGGGCATGATTCTGGGGGTTCTGAGAAGTAGCCAGTTCTTGGAGGGCAGCCGTACTTATGGGAAGGAAAAAGAAAAGGATCTGATGTGCCAAGACACCAACGTGCTACAGAAACATGAGTGGTGTTATGATCTTCCCTAGGCTCTAGAGCTGGAAGGACCTGGGGGGATCTAGCCCAACCCACTCATTTTACAGATAAGGAAACTGAGACCCAGAGAGTTAAGTGGCTCTGCCACTTCCTACCTCTGTGACCTTGGGCAAGTCACTAAACTCCACTGGGCCTTAGTATCCTCGTTTGTGAAAAAGCACGGGTCAGATTAGATGACCTGCAACTTGCCCAAAATTCCACAAGTAATAAGTGACAGAATTTGGATTTGAATCCAGATCCTGGGATTCCAAAATCAGTGTTCCTTCCACTATGGCACATGTCTTTCTTCTGGCTCCCCACTCTGCTTAGGGAAGGCACCTCTCCCAAAGCATGCTGACAGTGAAAAGGCCTGGCTAGAGGCCTTTAGAATATAGGGGGTCCAGTCTGCTAAAATAGGAGAGAACAGGGAGACACGAACTGTTCCAGCTTAAAATCAACTATGAGAGTCAAAAGGGTCCTTGGAGTGCATCTGGGCTGTGACAAGAGGCAGTTGTGGTGTAGTGGAGCTGAAAGGGTGCTTAGAGACCCCCTGACCCATATGCCCCCTATACTTTTACCTCCATTCCCACCACAAAAATTGAACCATTTTCATCCTGCATAAATTGAAAATTCAAGGAAAAAAAAAACACTCAGTACAAGATTAAAAGAAACTAGGCCCAACAAAACAGTGCAAGGTCAGGCTGTACTGCACAGTGCAGAATCTGACAGAACACCATCCACAAAGGGGCCCTGGCGGGTGTCCCTCTCTCCTTTTCCTGATAAGCCCTTCTACTACTGGGAGAAGATAGGCAACTGCTCCATAATGATCTTTTGTGCACACGTTAATTTGCTGGGAGAGAAAGGGAACAAATGTTTGCAAAGCCCCAGCAGCTAGAGAGGGGCTGGAACAAAGAATACTTCTTCTACAGGCCTGCCATGGGAAAGCAGATGGCTGCCAATGACATCCAGGGTTTTTTGCAGCGTAGGAAAAAAATATTAAAAATTGAGGAGTAGAAAAGGGCTGACTGAAGCTGACTGGCTCGTATGTTTATATGTTCTCCCTTCCTGAAGGTGAGAGGAAAAAAAATCTCATCCACTTCCATACATTTCGTTATTAACTCTGTGAAGATGAAGGCCAAGGTGATATATCCAGCCTTATACTCTGTCCCAAGAAGAGTTGAAAGTGGACTTGTAAGTGAGCCCAGAGGAGTGGGTACTTGATCTCTCTTCTGTATGTACCTCTGTCTTGTCTGTCTGTGTCTGTGTTTCTGTGTCTGTCTCCCTATCTCCCTCCCTCTTCTCTGTCTGTCTCTGTCTCTGTCTCTCTCCCTCCTCTCTCTGTCTTTATGTCTGTCTTTCTCTATCTCTCCCTCCTTCCACTCTCTGTCTCTTTCTCTGTGTCTCTGCTGTCTCTGTCTCCTCACTCTCTGTCCTCTGTGCCTCTATTTCACTCTCTCTCTCTCTCTCTCTCTCTCTCTCTCTCTCTCTCTCTCTCTCTCTCTCTCTCTCTCTCTCTCTCACACACTCACACACACACACACACACACCCCTTATTGCTCCCACTGAAGGCCAAAAAGTGAAGTATTTGGGATAGAGAGATGGAAAAATGATCCTGTTCTAGAGGGCTTAGGAGTGAGCTATTTGTTGGAATGTGACATATCTGCATTAAGCCACAGATGTCCCCAGCCTGGGTCCTTATAGTTAACTAGTAGAGGTCTCTTTGCTGTATCAAAGCTGCCATGGAAAGAAGAACATGGATTTGCTGGCAGGGCCAAAAGAAGGTCTTACTTTGGGCTATAAACAGGAAAAAGGTTTCCCAAACCCACCTCCATCACCTTCCCCCTGACCCCAACCTCACCAATCTAATTTCTTGTTATTTCATAACACAAATGGAATGCATTGGTAGAATGGACGAGATGTGCTCTGTAGGCCACCAGAAACATCCCTTTTCTTCCCCTACTAATTACTTCCCTCCTCCAGGTACAGGAGACATATTGCCTGACATTCCCATATTAAAGTTCATTTCTTTGGGTTAAATGTTACTCTGAGGAGGGTCCTCTTCTAGAATATAAATACTCTAGGAAGGGAAGCCTAAGTCACTAGCACCTGCATATGAATTTGTGTAATTTAGGTACTCTCTCTTCCCTGTCCATGGCAGAACAAGTGCACCCTTGGGTGGGGTCCAGAATGGAGAGAAGGAGCACTAAACTTGGAGTCTAGACTCTGCTACCTACCTGTGGACTGCGTGACTGTGGACAAATCACCTAATCTCTTGAAGATTCATTTTCCTCAGTTGTAAAAATAGTGATAATAATACATACGGTGCCCACTTCAGTAAGATTGTTTTGAGGAAAGAATTCTGTAAGTCTTAAAGCCCTACAGAAATGAGAGCCACAGTGTCTAACCCAGGATCAGGGTTAGGTCTTCCATTAAAATTTGGTTGAGTGTTGGAGTGATGAGGAAGACTACCAATCCTACCTGGTCAAAGGAAGATTCCCATAAAAGAGAAGATGTTTCATATTAAATTAGGACATTAGTTCTTACCATCATCTGGGAATAATAAATAGTCACAAGGTAAATCTTGGGTTCTATCTGGAGAAACATGCCCCCATAGCTGATGAGTGAGACAAGTTACTTTCCCATAAACTACATTCTACTACACAGGTAAGCAGAGTAAGCAGAGTATGGCAGTGTGCTTTC